GAAGGAAGGAAAAAAGGAAAGAGAAGAAGGGAGGGAAAGAAAGGAGACAGGAGGGAGAGAGAGCCTGAGTTTTCCGGGAGGGCGTGTGGAGGCAGGAAGGGGACGCTCACCCCTTATAGAGGGCTGCGGGGCCCTCCCGGGTCACCATCTTCAGCATGCAGTCCAGGGGGCTGCGGTACTGGCCTGGGAGCGAGTTGATATACCGGGTCTTCACCACGTCCACGGGGGAGGCCACCACTGTGGCACATAAACCGGCTCCGAAGGCAGAGACAAAGTGGCAGGGGAAGTTGTCTGCAGCGGGGAAGGGAAGAGCAAGTATTGGGCTGTGAGATGGGGGTGCACCTGCTTTCTGCTCCCTGTGAGCTTATCACATGCCCCCAATTAAATGGTGAGCTCCTTGAGCATAAGGGTAGTATTTTGCATCTTTCTCAGGGCCCTGGGTGGACCTTCTGGTAAGGTGGAACAGAGCCCTCAGAGTTGGAAGGCCATTCAGCCCAGCCGCTCTGTTTGAGGAAACCAAAGTCAGAGCAACGATCCTCTCTACGTGGTGAGAAGTGGTGCTGGGCTGGAAGCCAGGCCCCCAGCTTCCCTGTTCAGGGCTTTTTCCTACTGGTCACAACGATGTACTGGGCCCTGCTCCTCCTAAAGCCCAGTCGCCTCTGGGCGGTGCCCACTATTTGGAGTTCCAGGTTCCCTCCCTGCCATAGCGAGGGTGGGCTGTCTGCCTGGAGCCCAGGGCCTCACCAGTGAACAGGTGATAGTGCAGCAACTTCTCCTTGATGATGTCATAGGTCACCATCTCAGCACAGTTGACAATGGCATTCCTCATGATGTTGGGCAAAGTTCCTGTTATAAAGGGGAGTGGGAGCTGATAAGTGGGGAATAGGAGAAGTGGAACCCCCACAGGTCCCCATTTAGGGGGCTGGTGTCCCATTCCAGCGGTCTCAGACAGCCCGCCTCTGCTGAGGAGATTCTAGTGTTGATGCCTCTCAGATTATCCGTGTCCTCCTTACAGGCGGAAAACAGACAGGCCCACGTGCTTGTTTAGCCACGTTTTGGAGGATGACCTGCAATATCTATCAAAATTTAGATAGACCTCCCTGAGACTTGTCTAGGGCTAGAAACGGAAGTGTTTCTTTGGAAGAGGGAGGCGGGGCTCTGGGAATGGGGGGGGGCAGAGGGTAGTAGTGTGGGCAGGGCCCAAGCAGGGCATCACGACCAGCGCCTGGTTTCACCGATGAGGACACTGAGCATGCGAGGGCAGGGCCAGGGCTGGGGCCCAGGGATCCTGCTCTGAGCCTTCACTGGGTCCCTGTTTCTTCTGCAAGGATGCATGTGTCCCCTGGTCTCCATATGGGAGAGCCTCCAGCATTTGTGGAGGTTGCCACCTTTTAGATACAGAGGGAGCCCTAAAGCCTTGCTCCTGAGGGAACTCCCTCCTCACGGCGTCTCCCTATGTCCTGCTCCTCGCGGCTGCTTGTTTCTTCTCCCTGCCCTGCAGGGAGAAGACCTTTGCTTGGAAGGTCCTTCGGTGCAATCTCCACACAAGCAGAGCCTGCTGAGCCTTTGAGGCTCAGCTAACCCGTCACCTTCCCTCTGCAGCCCACATGGGCTCTCCTGCTTGTGGACTTGCACCTCTTCCTGAACCTAGCACGTCCTGAGCTGTGGTATGGCAGCTCCTTGGCATGTCTCTCCTCCTCTCTGTGAGAGTGGAAGGTGTCTTCTACTTATTTCTGTCTCCCTCCCAGTAGCCTGCACATGGTGAAGGGTTGGCAAGTTGAGCTGAATTGGGGCACTATGGTAGGTCAGGAGGTATTTTCTGTTGAGATATTTTTTCAGAATCACTGGAATGCATTATGCTGAGAGGGCCCTCTTTGCTCAGTTCTCAGCCCAAGCTCCAGGGAAGGGAAAGCTCTGCCAAAGGCTCCCTGGTACTGGGGTCCAGACTTACCTTTCCACAGGCCCCTGACCCCTTCCTCCTTGGCGATGGTCCTATAGGCATCCATTGTCCCGCTGTACTTCCGGTTGCTCCCAGGGCCAAGGTGTATGGTGGCCTGAAATCGGACCTTCACTACATCTGTGGGCTGGGCACAGGTTACTGCCATGGCCCCTGTGGTGCAGCCCGCCAAAATCCGGGTGGCGATGCCAGAGTCTGGGGAGAAGGGGATACAGTGGGCCAATGTCCTGCTACCTGACGCCTCTCTGGGCCTGATGCTGTTCTCTGCAGGGAGCCCCTGCCTGATACTTGCCTCTTTTCCTGGATCAGGTTCTGGAGCTTTCTCGTTGGGGCTCTGAGTCTCCTCACGATTGTCTGTTATAAGCTGCCCATACCCCAGCCCTGCCTCTGAGTTGGCACTGCCCTGCTTTCTGGACCCCCACACCCCAGTTCTGCTTCTGCCCACCCAACGGTGTCCGTGGGATACTGGCACTCACTGTCTGCTCCTTTAGGGGTGTAGAACTGCTTGACAGAGTCATAGAGGCCAATGCGGATGGAGGCGAAGCTCATCTGGCGCTGCAGGCCGGCGACCAGCCCATTGTAGAGGCTGCGGGGACCTTCGGTGCGCACCATGGTCAGGATGGTGCCCAGCACGCCGCGGTACTGGATGTTCCGGGCCTTCAGGGCTGCCTGGTTCTCCCCCTGGATCTGAGGGACACCCCCCCACCCCGGCACAGGTGTGAGGAGCTTCGAGGCGGGTTGCGAGGGGGGCTGTGTTCAGAAGGGCCTGCATGGGGCCGGACTTGGAGACAAGCATGGCTGCAGCTGCCATATCCCAGGAGGATAACTGGGGCTCGTGCAGCAGTCCAAGCTCCCAGGGCGCCTGATTCTCAGAGCAAATGGAGGCCAGACTGTGGCTCTCATTACAGTGGTCGGGGTTGCTCTAGGTCACCTGGTAACACCTGTCTTTCACTTGACTCCTTATGGTTTACGAACAGTGGCTGGGCCATGAAAGTTCCTGTCACATTATGCCAAGGAATGGAGATTTCTTTATCTTGGGCAATGGTGACGGGGAGGTGGCGAGGCAGGGTCTTAAGCAATGGATGAGTGGCCTGCTCAGGGTTCTGCGTGAGGAACAGCTTGCTGGCAGACGAGTGGAGAACTCAGCGCCTCCTCTGATGCGAAGGATGACCTTGGCCGAAGGGCACCTACCTGCAGGCGGACCTTGGCCGTGTCCAGCGGATAGGTGAGGAGGTCAGCGAAACAGGCAGCCGAGCCCGCCCCCAGGAATTTCACGGCAGTTGTGGGAGGCATCTCCGAAGGCTTTAGTCCAACCATGGTCCCTGAAGTCTCTCCCAGTCCCTCGAGGGCCTGGTGCAGGTCCCAGGACAGGGCCGTTCTGCAGCTCTGGGCGCTGGTGCAGGGAGGAGGCTGCAGGAGACAGGCCAGAGGCGGCCGATGGAGCCTGTGCTGTCCGACCAGCCCCCAAGACCCCTCAGCACCGAGGGGGCTGTGGAGGTGAAGGGCCTGAGCACTGCCATGTTTAGCTCTGTGGACTCTGCTGATAAAAACTGGTCACTTGACCCTACCTTATCTCTTTGATCTTTCCCAGCATGAAGTTGCATTTAAATTTTTATTTTTTAAACTTTTGAAATTGTGGTATAACTTCCATATAATGGTTATAGTCATTTTAATGGCCACTGAACTGTAATGGGAATTGTGCACTGATGCGGGTATATTTGGCCATGAAGCAGATGGAGGAAGCGATTTTCTGGGAGGAGACCCAGCCTGGCATCCAAGCATATGTATGTCAGGTCATGGCACTCCCTGTTGAGAACAGCCCATTGCATCCCCTGACCCCATCACTGAGAACAAGGTCCAAAGTCCTTGCCATGGCCTGTGGACCCCTCCACGAGGTCCACCCCATGCAGGGTTCTGTGCCTGGCACTCCCTGGGAAATCTCGAGATGGGCGAAGACAGTGTGTGTGACCTGCCCACAGGGAACTCTCAGGAGTCTTATAGGGGCATTAGACATGCCTACAAGCAATAGTAGGGCAAGATGAGCTGGACCGATGTCAGAGGAAGGAGCCACCAGGAAGGGACTCACAGGAGGGAAAGACCCTCTCTCTTGTTTGTGAGGAAGAATTAGAACAATTTCACGGGGGGGGGGGCTGGTGGGAGGGCTGCATGAGTTAGGCCTGCAAAAGCAGGCAGGAGAAGAGAAGGGTGTTCGGCAGCTGGAGAAGGGTGTTCGAGGAACAGGGGAGGGCAAGAGCATGTGTGAGAGCCTGGGGCATGGCTTAGGGTCGGGGTGGGGAATGGCTGCTGGGATTCTGTGTGAGCATCACCCACGATCTCTCGGAGTTCTCATACCTTCCGAAAGGGAGCCGCCTCTTCCTTGCCTACGTTGGGTGCGCACACCGAGACTCAGAGGCACGTGCGGGCTCAGTGCTCCCAGCCACCAGTGTCAGAGCCCGGCTCCCTCTGCCACACTAGGCTTAAAATAGCCCTGGGAAGAAGGAAGGACATTTGAATCCATTTTACAGATGAGAAAATAGAGGCTTAAGATGGGAAGAGACTGGCTCAGGTTCATAGAATTCCAGGCTCCCTTCCCCAGTCTACTCAGGGGCCCCAGTGGCCGTGGTGGTGTGGACATCCACCCCTTTTTATTGAGGGCTTTGGAGGCTGGGTGGGTGTCACTGCCCATTTTGGCAGGTGAAGAAGAGGTGTCAAGAGGCTGACACCTCTACAGGTTGCACAGTCAGGCTCTGGCTCTCTCTGCAGGGCTCTTCCCATAGCCCAACTTCCTGCCTTTCTGCAGTGCCTTCTTGAGAGGGTCCAGGAAGGACCTGGCTTCTTGGGAGGATGGCGTGGAGGCCCCCGTCTGCACAGCTGAGCCTGGCTGGGGAACAGCGTGGCAGCCGTTCTGGGAACGCCACCCTCCCCCTGCCTCCTTCCCCACTCCCCTTTGCCCTACAGCAGGACAGCAGCTGCCAGGGCTGGCTGCGTCCCCAGTGGGAGGTGCTGGCTCCTCTCAGCTGGGAGGCCCTTGGGGGCTGTGATCCCTGCTGTTTCCTACTGGCCGTCAGAGCATGCTTCTTCAAACCCTTTGGTGGCTACGCAGGCTGTAACAGGAGAACCCTACGAATTAGGTATTTTTACTTCACTTTCAGAGTTACGAACTGAGGCCCAGACAAGTGGTATGACCTTTCCGAGGTCACAGGTGAGCAGGGCTACGTGACACCAAGGCATCTGTGTGATGTGCAGGCCTGGCAAGGGGCCCTTTGTCGGCTTTGTCTGACAGGCCGGATTTACCTTCCTGGGGGTGCTTGGCCAGGGCCCTGAACCACCAAGGCTTCCCTTCTGAACTTCCTTTGTCTCCAGCTACCCCTGGTTTCATACTGTGCTTTCTTGTAGGATCAGCTCATTAGCTTCTGTGGTTCCCCCTGAGATGGAGGACACCAAAGGCGGGGATAGGGCTGACTTATCCTGCTTCTCTGTGCCGCTAGGTATGGAAGAGTTGACCAAGGAACCCTACTTGCTGAAGGGGGGGGGTGTTGAGAAATCTGAGGTGCCCACAGTGGCCTTTGGTGGAGGACCTCAAATGCCAGGGCTATACTTAATCTAGCTGGCAGAGGAGAGAGGAGGGCGGTTTTTGGCTGAGGGGTGACTCTAGCAGAGCTGCATGAGAGCATGCGGGTGTGGGTGCGGGTGCTGAGGACGGACTGGGAGCTGGGGGCTCAGAGACCAGAGAGGGGTGGTTGAATGGTCCAGCAAGAGGTGGTGGAGCCTCCACTTGCTCAGGAGCAGTGGCCCGGGGGCGAGGCTGGAGCACATCCAGAGGCAGTCCTGAGCCACCCACCGGAGGCAGAGTGGATGCGCATGGACTCAGGTTAAGAGTCGTGCCTTTCGGGGAGGGCTCTCGAACTTCCACTGGTCAAGCTGGGGAGGGCGTTGGGGAGGCCGTAATGGTGGGCACAGGTAAGGGCTGCCCTGAGGCCAGTGCTCCCCAACCTCCTTCCCTCTTCACTCCAGCCTCCGAACTGGTACTCAAGGAGACTCAGCAGCCAGCAGACCTTTGCCACTGGATGGTAGGAGAGGAAGTTGACAGCAGAACCTCCTCCCAGTGGCTCTGCTGGGGCACTTGAGGAATGGAATGTTCTGGTCTGCATGGCCCCCGGGGTCCTGGTGCCCAGTGGTGCTGGCTGAGTGCTTCCTGCACCGGGCACCGTGATGAGGGCTTTCTAGGCATTGACTAATCCAGTCACTTTGTAAGACTCTAAGGTAGTTGCTATGATTATTCCCACTTCCTCCTCAAGGGACCGAAGGCTTTGAGGGCTTCGGCTGGTCATAAGGCTGAGGAATGGAGCTGGGATTGGGGCCCAGGGCCGTCTGACAACTGTGCCTGTCCCATCGTCCAGAGTGTCAGACTTCAGGGAGAGCGCAGGGTCCCTGGAGCCACTTGTTTATGAGTGGATTCTCAGCCCTCAGCCCCAGAGACCCCCATTCAGGTCTGGATGGGGTCTGGGGATCCGCATTAGAAACAAGTCCCCTGAAGTAGGGGTCAGAGGCCCGGTTCTTAGATACACTGCCCAACCCCTCCATCCTGGCGAAGCCTCCGCAGCGTCCCTACTGAGAAAGCCACTGCGGGGAGAGTTCCCGTGGGCTCTGTAAAACCCTCAGTATGCAGACCGGGCCTCACAGGCCCTCCTTGACTTTATGCTCTGAAGGAATCCTGGAGGGATTCAGGGTCAGATTAAGGAGAAAGCCACCTCTTGTCTATGAGGATATACAAAAGCACATCGGAGGCAGCCAGCGGAGCAAGGGGTGAGTCCCAGGTGAGTGACAGGAATGGTGGGGCCGAGTACCAGCTCTGCCACTGTGCCCTCATCAGGGCTGCAGCTCCCGCACCAGGACAAGACTGGGGCTGGACTAAATCTCCATCAGCCCGGCCATGCGATGACAGGGATCCCTGCCAGGTCCTGGCCGCAACCTGCAAGCCACCATGAAGGGGAGGACATGGGGTCTTACCTGTGAGGCCAGGCATGGTAGGGGAAGCACGGGACCTCCTTAGGGCTCCATTCCAGGAGGCGACAGCAGGAATCTGACCGCCCCTTGCCATTCACTGCTGTCTCTGCCGCCTCTGGCTTGGCACCTATCTTTATACACCCCGGGTGACCTGAAACCTGACCCTGGAGACGCTAGTTGACAGCCTGATCACTTGACAAGACACGGCTGTGAGGGGCAGGGAGTTGAAGGGGGAGGTCAGAGTTCTAGATCTGGTTCCGTTTCTTTGACCTGAGGTTCTTTAAAACAGCTCCTTTCAGTTCCCGAGAGAAGAGCTACCTCAGGTGATAAGGGTGTGCATAGGGTCCGGCAGAAGGAACGCCTGCTTGAGTGTGGCTGGTAGGGTAATAATATGGGTGTAATAATTTATAGTTTCACTTTGAACATTTCCCCTAAAATGTCATAGGGTGTTCTTGAGTGATATTGTTATGTTACAGAATTACATGCTTATGATCTTGTAATAAAAGATTTTATAATAATAAAGGGGTGTTATTTGTGCCAGACCATGTATGTATGGGTGTGGGGGGTGTTGGACCTGCTGCCTTGAAAGTCCGAAGGTCAAGGCCTCCCTCCATAGGCTGGGCGCGGCTCTCCTGGGCCTCCTCTTAATAACAATGACACTAACTCTCATTTCTTGGTGCCTACTGTGAGTTAGATACTTGACATACATTATTCCTATTTCTTACAACCATATGAGGTAGGCACTATTAGGATTTTAAGCTTTAAAATACAACAGCTTTATTGAACTATGATTCACACACCATTTTCCTATTTAAAGGATATAATTCCACATTTTTAGTATATTCACAGTTATACTGCCATCAGTCGTCACGTTCAATTTTAGAACACTTTCATCGCCCCTCGGAAACGCCCCCTACACATCAGCAGTCACTTCCCTCCCCGCAGGCCCCAGGCAGTCACTTACCTACTTTTTGTCTCTGTAGATTTGCTTTTCTGAACATTTCCTATTAATATAAATATGTGACATACTCTGTGACTAGCTTCTTTCACTCAGCATGAATGTTTTCAAAGTTCACCTGTGTTCATCCCTTTTTATGACTCAGGAGCCTAATGTTTACAATGCTTATTTTACAGAGGGGAAGAGTAAGTCTCGGGGACAAACAGTGACCTGCACAGGTCATTGTACCAGGCAGACCTCTAGCCTGTAATTATAACGTTCTTTGGGTCTGTCTTCTGTCACCACTGATTTCGATGACATAACACTTGGAGTCTCCAGCACAGACACCGTTGGAGCCAAAGGGAGCCGGGAAGGTGTGGGGGTCAGGGTGGGAGGGGTCCCCTGTAGCAGCTGCCGTAGTGTAGGTGCTGGGGGTAAGGGTTTGGCACCTCTGAACCTGGGACCCAGGTGACAGAGAAAAGAGGAGAGAAGGGGAAGGGGTCAGGGGAGAAGAGGGCGGGTGGGGGGAGAGAGGAGGATGTGGGCACAGAGCCAGGGCCCTGAGGCGGGTGGTTGCAAGTCCAGATGCCGCAGTGCCAAGCCCATCATCTTCCTAGAACCAGGCTAGAACACCAGGACAGGCAGCTGCATTAGTGTGCTGAGAGAAGGGGCTGCTGAGGTCGCGAGGGCTCAGGGACTAGGTTCTGGGCTCTGAAACTGTGGGCCTGGAGGTCGTGGGTGAATTACTGTGGATACTATATACACGAAGGGGTAACAAGGGGCAGCAGGCCTCGGAGAAACCCAGAGTCGGCAGTTGGGCTGCCTTGCATTGGCCCGAGAGCTGCTGAAGGGCAGGGCCAGGTGTGTCCACTCTGGTTCCTTGTCCCCAGAATCCAGCCTGCTCTGGAAGTTCCATGGCTGGTTGCTATGAGGCGGGATTGAAAGTTTTTGAGTGACCAGGAACACCCATTTTCAGGTCTCTGCAAAGGGAGAGCTCAGAGGGAAGTCGGGGAGACACTGACTAGTGTTGGGGTGACTGGAGCAAACATTGCATGACCCTGTAAGGCATTTCACCTCCGAGCTGTCCCTGGGAAATAGACCCAGCTTATGGGGACCCAGTGAGCTTCAGACCCTCAGGGTGCCTCTGTGTCATAGACACTGCTTGCTGCTCTCGGCCTGGGTAGAGGCAGCTTGTATCTTCTGTGGCCTCATCCTAACTCAACGTGATCAGGCTGTTTATAGGACCTGAAGCAGGATTTAGAAGGAATAGTCGTCACCTGCTTAACCTCTCAGGCCTGGGCCCCTGACTTCTTCATTGTAGGTTCTTGGTGGTCTCAAGGGCGGTGGAGCCCAGGCCTCAAATCTCTGGGCTGGTGACCTGAGAGGGAGGCTCTGGGCAGGGGTGAGCTGGCAGGCCGAAGCTTAGGGGGCTGTGGTGAACAGATGAAGGAGGGCACTTCACTGATGAGGGCAGCCTGTCCCTCGCTGGGGTTCCTGCATCACCCTGTACCCTCTGGGGGCGCGTCCTGCCTGTCTCCCAGTTACTGGTGCGCTTGCCTATCCACTGATTTGCTCCAGAAGAGTGGGGTGGCACGGGCAGGGGCTGACCTCTCCTCAGCTTCCACTAAGCACCTAGTGCAGGCGAGGCACTTCCACAGATGTCATCTCATTTAACCTTTACGACAACCCCGAGAAGCGGGTGTTGTTATCTCCATTTTACACCTGAGCCACCCGAAGCTCAGATGGAGGGAGAGTCCAGCCAGAGGGCACCTACTGGGGCAGTGGCAGAGCCGGACTGTCTCTTCTGTACCCTCAGGTGCAGGTGGCCTGAGTGCACTCTTGGCTCGCCTCTGGGCTCACCTCCGGACTTCTTTCTTCTGGGCGGCCTTCTCTGCCTGCCCCAGCCCGCGGGGCTTCCCCCATAAACTCCCTGAATTCAAAACACTTACCGGCTGTAACCTGTTTTGGTCACTGAGTGCAGAAGCCTTGCAATACCTTTGGAGGTATCTTGTGCGGTGACTTACTTTCTAGCTGATCAACAGAGGCAAATTAACTTCATTGAGCTTCAGTTTAACTACGAACAGGGAACCCCAATATGCAGGTTATAGAGCTGTTTTCTTTCAGAGGAAGTGAAGTGACCTGTGTTTGGGGGTGGCAAGCAGGCCCTCCACGTCAGCCCCCTTCTAACCTCGCGCAGGCGCTCCGCACACCTGTGCCTCGTCTTCCCCACAGGCCTGGTCCGCAGCAGCTGCTCAGATGTTCGGGGTCTGGCAGAGCCAGAGTTGCCCATCCCAGAGATGGGGGATTCTGAGGGGCTCATCCCAGGAGACTCCCTTTACTTTGTTGATAGCTTGGAGGCACCAACAAAGGAATAGTGGGTGTCACCCTAATCTGGACCAGCCTGATCCTTGGGGAGCTCAGAAGTCTCGTGGTAACTCTGGCCCCCAGTTTCAGATGAGCTTCTCCAGGGTACTGCATGGCTGTCACGCCTTCTCTCTGGCTGTTAGAAATGAATCTCTAACACCCCTGTCCAGTGGCCCACCCAAGAAATACCTGTGCACAGAATACAAATACCAATATGATTTTATTAAAAAAAAAAAGGCAGGAACAATGACCTTCAGAGCCAGGTAAAAGCAATAAGTTAAAAGCATGGTTAGATTTTCAGACAATCAGACAAAATGTTTGAGAGGTGATTTCCCTCTCCTCTCAAACTGATTAATTCAACATAGCACACAAATAATTTATATCTATAAAATACCCTTATTCCCAAGCAAATGAACTGAAGGTGGCCGTAGCATTTCCTCAGTTATGCATGATGCACACAATCTACAACCGGCCCCCCAAGCAAACCTTTAAGGCAGAAAGGCCCATCACAGGCAGAGGGTGGGCTGTCGGCTGTATGCTGTGTCAAGGACATGAGGAGGAGTTTCTCAGCCAAAAGATGGCTGCTTGGGTCCCTTCAAAAGACAGGAGAGCCACTTGGGTGCTGGAATCCTTTTGTTTCTAGCCTCTGCCTCACCACGGAAGGAAGAAGCTGAAGTTCTTGCAGGTGGACACGGGGCTGGTGTAGGACGCCCCTACCGTCTGTGCCGGCTGGGTCTCGTCGTGTCCATGGGCTACGCCGATGGTGGCTTCAGGGCTCTGACGGCCCTGACCAGGGCAGACCTGCCGCTCCCGCAAGCTGGTCAAGGCTGAGGGACAGTGGGAGGTGGGTCCTTCCTTCAGTCTTTCGGGCTGCATTTGTCTTTCTGGGAGTATTGGGAAGAAAATATCCGCGCAATCCTGCGAGTTTCTTCTTCAGGCAGGCTAGGAGGCAGCGAGGTAGGTCTGGGGCGACAAGGCCTTTGGAACAAGGCTCTTCCAGTGGCTTCGCTCTTGTCCTGGACAAGAAGAAGTCAGCTAGGTTAGCACTAAGGGCATGGTATTGCCAAGAGATGGCTTTGATTCCTCTCACCTTTTGGTCCCTTGGCTAACAGTGGTGCAGAACTTACCGGCTTACGAAGCACTTTACAAACCTGACTTGTTTAATCCTTACCTCAGCCCCATAGGTGGGTACACCATTCCCATGCCATGGGTGAGGCAACCACAGTTCAGGGGAAATAAACTCAAGGTCTCACAGCGAAGAGTAGCACAGCAAAGATGTGAAGTAGCTCAGACTGTTTCCAGGCCTCTGGAGGAGGGACAGTCTCCTCCAGGCCAGGTTTGCAGCTGCGTTTGTCCTCTGAGTTGTGACTGTCCCATGTGTGACCCTGGGAATATATCCAACTTCCAGGGAGATGGCGGTGAATAATATACTCTGTTGGCTCTTTGGAGTTCCCGATGCCACCAGGTGGTATGAAGCACGTACTCATGGCCCTGCTACCATCTTCCCGCTTGGAGCGGACAGGTGAACACTCATTCCGCCTTCAAGGTGCTTGCATTAGGGTCATTCTGCTGTGGTCCTCTGGACTCCCCTGTGACTCACTCATTTGCTCGACCGCTTTTACTTTTTGGTGCTTAGTCAGGGTCAGGTTCCCGCCATGAGGAACCCAAAGCTATACAGGAAAGCTGCCCCAGGCAGCTGGCTGAGAGCA